AAAAAAAAATATTTTGCAAAAATTTGTTAATAACATTAATCATTTGATATTTTTCATTTAATCGCTACTTTAATGTTAATTCATTTTCAATTTTTCATCTTATTTCTCTTTTTCGTTTTTCTCTCTTTTTTTTTTATTTTTTGACTCATGTTTTAGTCAAAAAATATTATTTGAATTGAAATTTTAATTTAAATTTGAATTTAAAGCACGAATTTGATAAATGCCTTTTTTTTTATTCTAAAACAAGAAATTGCCTATTTGATCATCATATTTATGATAATTTTATTCTAAATGAGTTATAAAATATTATTCATTGCATGTGTGTTTGGCAATTTCTATTAATAGAAATGAAAAAGGCTTAAGATATTTATTTAATAATAAATAAATAAGTAAATAAATAAATGAGTAAGTATATATATAGTCGTATAAACAATAATTTCACATAGTATTTATTTGGAAAGTTTTTTCGATAAATATAGAACATATTTAATAATGAATAAAATATTTCATTGCAACTAATTAATTAATTAATTAACTCGATCAACTAATTTCATCGTTTGCCACTGAAATTTGTAATTAAAATTTTTAATTAAATTTAATTTGCAATCATTTTATGCAAATTAAACTCATTATCAAAATATATAATAATAAACAATATCATTGGTTAAGGAAATTTTCATTTCATTTATTATTAATTAGCAAAAAAAAAAAAACCTTTTTTGTTTATTATTAATTTAAAATCTTTAATGTATTCACTTCCAATTTAATCTATTAAAAAAAAAAAAAGAAAAAAATATAGCAAAGAAATATAAAATAAAATTATAAAATTGAATAAAAATTTGACCCCTACAATTTTTCATCATCATTTTTCTTTTTTTTTTTTTTTTTTTTTTGCCCCATCGATTTCTTATCCTTGCGGAAAAAGATACATATATGACTCTCTGTCTCATTAACAATTCTCGAGATAACGAGAGTGAGAATAACTGAATGAATGAATAACACCAACCATCTTTGCAACAACACTGTGAAATAGTTTTCAATTTTGTAGAGAGAGAGAGAGGGAGAGAGAGAGAGAGGTCACAAAGATGACAGAATTTTTCGAGAGTATATGGAAATTTAATCAAAAAAGCCATTGCAAAAGAGTAAAGAGTAAAGTATATTTTCTAACATTAAAAATCAATTAAATATGGTATTAGTATAGTGTAGTAGTAGTATAAACCCTTTTTATCATCCCTCTCTCTCCCTCTCTCTCTTCCTCTCTTCCCCTCTCTCTCTCTCTCTCTCTCTCCATCATTCGCCTTTTTATATTGAATAGATTTTTGCTAAATCCGAAATGAATGTGCGCACACCACTCAACAACCAAACCAAATTGTAGCATTCAATCTTCTTCAAACAAAAAAAAAAGATTGCAAATCATATGGGAAAAGTATGATGGAGCAAATTTGAGTAATTAAATTTGATTACCTATTATTATTAGAAATTAAAGTTATTATTAACTAATAATATTAATTATAAAAATTATCGATTTGATACTGTTTAAAAAAAAAACACAAATTATTGAATTAATATGCTAATAAGGAAAATTTTATTGATTGATATTATATAATTACAATTTACTTTTAATGATACGAATTGGTTTACTGATAATTAAAGATATGTATTATTGATTAATATTATTAGAAACAAAAGTTTTTGATTAATAATGATAATAATGATAAAAATTATTGATTTGATATTGTTAAAAAAAACACAAATTATTGAATTAATATTAAAATGCAGAAATTACTGATTGATATTACTTGTTTATTACAAAATATTTTATTATAATCTACATTCATATTAAATAAAGAATATAATAAAAAAAAAGTAAGTAACTTAGTTTTACATTTAATACATATTTCAAAAGTAAGTAACTTAGTTTTACGTTTAATACATATTTCAAAAGTAAGTAACTTAGTTTTACATTTAATACATATTTCAAAAGTAAGTAACTTAGTTTTACGTTTAATACATATTTCAAAAGTAAGTAACTTAGTTTTACGTTTAATACATATTTCAAAAGTAAGTAACTTAGTTTTACGTTTAATACATATTTCAAAAGTAAGTAACTTAGTTTTACGTTTAATACATATTTCAAAAGTAAGTAACTTAGTTTTACGTTTAATACATATTTCAAAAGTAAGTAACTTAGTTTTACATTTAATACATATTTCAAAAGTAAGTAACTTAGTTTTACGTTTAATACATATTTCAAAAGTAAGTAACTTAGTTTTACGTTTAATACATATTTCAAAAGTAAGTAACTTAGTTTTACGTTTAATACATATTTCAAAAGTAAGTAACTTAGTTTTACGTTTAATACATATTTCAAAAGTAACATTTTATATAATTACATAACATCAAATGCTTCCATATGCGTTTTCTTTTTTTTTAAAAAAAATTTTTTATTACGTATTATTATTAAATGAATTTTCAAAATATAATGACGCAAAAGCAATTCTTACGTAATATCTTAAGTAATAAAAATGACGTAAGTTAAATTATGTTAAACAATTTTTGTTTACTTTCATTTTTATTAATTTTCTCTAACACACACACACACACACACACACACACACACACACACACACACACACACACACACACACACACACACACACACACACACACACACACACACAGACAAATACCCACCTAATGTGTGAAAAAAAAAAATAAAATAATAATAGTAAACAAATTTTATGAATGATAGGCCAATAATAATCAATAATCCCGTAATGATAATATACGTGTATGACTAAAGTAAAAGGAATACGTGAAGTAAGCGTAGAGTAAACGTGGAAGAGTACAAAACATTATTTATGTGATTCATTAAATATTCAAAATTCACTTATTCCATTTATCTTTTTGCTAAATAAACTTTTTAATTTAACATTTAATAATAAAACAATAAGGCATTTTTTAAAAGAAAAAAAAAATCAAAAAAGAACAAAAGAAAACAAAAAAGCAATAAATAATAAAAATTATTATCATTTATTTATTTTTTCATTTTTTGTTTGAATCAAATAAAAGAAAAATTTAATGAAAAAATTCACAAAGTTTTTTAGTAAAAACAATTTGCTTTATGCTTTAAGATTTTTTCATTGAAATTTTCCTCCATAAGTTGCAAGCAAAAAATAAATAAAAACATAAATAAAAAAATTTTCATCGTTAATAACAAAATGCTAAAAAATATATTTTTTTTTTTTTTTATAAAGAAAAAAAGATCAAACTAACAAATATATAATTCTAGAAGCATTTATTGTAGATTAATAATAAAAAATACATTCATTTATTGCAAATCGATTAAACAATAAGAAAAAAAAACTTTTCTTTTATTTATGTGAAAAAAAATGAACAAAAAAAAAAAAATGGATAAAATAGTTTATTCATTTTTTCCTTTTTTCAAAAATTATCAACAAAAATGTATAATACCTGAATTGTCCCAATTTTAAAGATAAAATGTAAGTACAACATATTTATTATCATTTCCTCATAATAATAATAATAATTAATAATAATAATACCAAATATAAATTTGAGTATTAATTTTTTTTTTTGTCAGAAAATATTAAAATATCTATTTTATTTGTTGCATTTCGTTTAATTTATTTGTATTTTAAAATTATATAACATGAAATATCAGAAGAAAATACCATAGCAAATAAAAAAAGAAATGAAAAAAAAAAGGTGAAAAAAACGAAAACAATTAATCATTTTGTCCAATGATCACTCTACATATATATATATAATTAACTAATATTTATATATTTATAAATGATATTTTATAAATAATACAAATGCCTTATTTTCACTAAATATTATTTTAAAAAAAATATTTTCATAAAAAAAATTAAAAGGAAAAAGTGAATAAAACGAGAAGATAAAAAGTTAATGAATAAGAAAAAAAAAAGAAGAAATGAAAAGGATAATTGAAACCCGAGTTAAAAGATAATGTAATAATCATAATCATAAATTGTAATTATTATCACAATAATAATAACAATAATAATAAAACGGAAATGATAATAACGATGTATGAAATTAAAAATTTAATTATTACAAAGTGTGAACACGTACAAAAAATTGCAAAAATAGAAATACACGTGTAAATATTTTTATTTTTACGTTACAAAAGTAATAAATGCCATAAGGTAATATAAATTGGCTTTTTAAAGATCAAAACTTTGCATAATTAAATAATAATTATGCATAAATGTTACTTCCATTATATTTATAATTTAATCAAATTAATAATAAATTTTTTTCTTAAAGAAGTGAATTCCAAAAAAAAAAAAAAAATATTTCAAAGATAAATCTTTTAAAATATGCAATTTCTCAAATGTCATTTTTTTTTATGAATATATTTTCCAATTTTATCAAGAAAAAGATATATGTGCATGTATTTTTGACATTTACAACTTTTTTTTTTTTTTTTTTACAAATGGTTTTAAAGTTGAGGAAAAAATTGTACAATATTTGAAATTTTTTAACAATAATAATTTAAAAAATATACAGAGAACATCATATAAATAAATTAGGATAGCATTTCATTTTAATTTCTTTTAAATTTAAACCAGCGCTTATTATTTTTTTCTCTTTTTAATTCGAAAAAAAAAATGTTACATAATAAATTGTTGAAATATCGATTTATATAACCGGATAAAATTTGATACAACCGGATAAAATTCTGGAATAACATATTATAATCGGATAAAACTTATGGAATATCCTAAATTATTTATTGTTCTCCAGAAAACAAATTTTATACATAATTATTTATCAAAAAAAATAATAATAGTGGGATGAAAAATAATAAAAATTGATGAAAAAAGCTTTATAAAGCTTAAAATAATGCGTTGACAGAGAGAGAGAGAGAGAGAGAGATTTAAAAAAGAAAATTAAATGAAAATAAAAAATTTTCAATTAAAATTAAATATGAATTAAAAGATGTTTTTTGTTCAGCGCTGTTTTTTTGTTCGATATTTCCACGGATGACGACGAAGACGCTTCATTTGATTATTTTTTTCCGCCAATTTTTTTGTTTCAACTTTTTGTTGTTTGCAATCATAGATACGACGGCAAAAATAGACCTAAATCATATTAAATTCAATAAAAACTTAAAAATAAAATCTGAAAAGCAGAAAAAAAAGTTAGGAAAATGAAAATATAAATTCAAATTTTAGAAAAAACTATCATAATAAAATGATAGAATTACAATTGAACAAAATTATCATTCATGTATTTTAAAATTAAATTTGTTGAAATAAATAAAATTTATTAGAATCAAAAAATCAATATTAAATTTAAATCATTTAATTATCGATTAACTTACTAATTCAAGTGGTGTATCATCACGTGGAAGATAGATCCGTCGTGGATAATCATCTTCACCTTTCTTCCATAATAAATCTTCCTCACTTACACGTTGTGCAAGTGGATATGTATCATTTCTTGTTTCAGCCATAAACCTAAATTTCAAAATTAAAACAAAAAAAAAAAAAAATTTGAAATTTAATGAAAAATCTTTCACAAAATGAAAAGAAAAACTGGCATACAACATGTAAGGTATTAAACTTGAGTAATAAAACGGAGAGAAAGAAAAAAATAAGAATTAAATAGAAATATAAATGTTCACGTATCACGTATACACGCAAATTCTCACGTTAAATTCTTACCGGCCATATTCATTATATGTTAGTACCCATACAATTTCATCCACTGTATCAAGCGGTATAATATCCATATGCTTTGAAGCAAGTAATTCCCGTTCAAATACCGGTGGAATTAATGAATTATCAGCTTTAACTTGCATCGGGGTATAGTACCACAATACTGATGCCAAAGGCATTCCTAAAATTTAAATTAATCTTTCTTTCCAATTTTTTTTTTTTTTAAATTCAAAACACAATTGAAATAATGATAACATTTCAATAATAAACTCCTTTAAATTAGTATTTAACAATGACATTTTCATAGAATATGTTAAGTTTAAACTTAAAATTAAACTTTCAGTTTTGTTTTTTTTTTTATTCAATTTAATTTGTACCTATAAAAATTTTATTGTTGAAATTTTTTAAAAATAAAATTTTTACCTACCCGTTTTTGAATCATTGAATAAGCGACAAATACATGCAAAATTTGGTTCACCATCAATAGAATTTACTCGTACAGAATCACGAAGTCTCAGGAGATCACCGGTCTTGGAATGTACAGCTTGTGGATAGCAAATTTGTTTGATCGATTGATTTTCATGGAAGAAATACTGCGAAAAGATCAGATTTACTTATCATAAAATATCATAGAATAATTTGTAAATTAACAAACAAATAATAAATTTGAAATGAAAATAAAAAAAGACGAGAAATTTTTTTCTTTTTCTAGCTTAAAATTAAAATCAGAAATTAATGAATAAAAATAAATTATGATAAATTAATTTTTTTCTTTTTTTTTTAAGCTTACATCAATGTAGACGGAACTTTCATATGGTAAACCAATTAATTTCCAATTTGAATTAAAATTATTTCTTCGATTTCGTGATGATGAGTCACGTCTTTTCCTCATTTTTGTTATCACGGTAAATTCATTTGAACCACTGGAAGTACTAGCACGACTACTACTTGCTCCTGACCAATGACGTGGTCGTACTGACGTATTTCTCAGATCATCGAATGTCACCATCAATTCATTATCCAATAATCCATCTATTTCAGTCTGAAATTTATTTATTTTTGAAGTTTTACGAGATGATTAATACTTTTATAAAAAATTTAAGATATTATTAAAATTATTTATCATTTTTTCATTTCTTTCTGTTTTCATTTTTCACTTTTTTTTTCTCTTTTTTGTCCTTATTTTATTCAATTCAAATTGGTTTCTTTTTTTTATTTTTCAATGAGTAAAATTGAAAAGATATATTTTTTGTAAAGGTAAAATTTATTATATACTGTTCACGAAGATTTTTTTTTCCCTAATACTTCAAATATAATACAAAATTTGAAATTAATTTAAAATACATGACTTATATGAAGAAAATGTGTATATTAAAAATTATTAATCATTTTTCCTTTCTTCAAGACAAATATGTGCATGAAAAAAAAAGAGACATAAACAAAAATGTAAACAAACAAACAAACAAATAAATAAATAAATAAATAAGAAAAACAAACCCTTAAACGTTTGCTATGTAATTCAGTTTCTTTATTAATATCCTTCGATTGTGATCGATTTTGTTTCACTTCCTCATTTAATTGTGTTGAATATAAAACATTTCCCATTATTGGAAATATTTTATTAGCTGTAAAGTTGGTTGACAATTTTTCGGACTTTTTCTTCTTCGATTTTTTCAAAATTGTTTTTCCATTAGCTGTTTTTTTAGCAATCATTTTCATTGTAAAATTATGATTGATAATTTTGTTGGAATTATCATTGATAATAGTATTATTGGTGACAGTAATGTTTGAAATACTTGATGCAATAGTAGACGAACGTAGTACACGTTTGGGACGATCTTCTTCCTCAAATTGTTTCAATAATTTTGGATCAAGTGATGGCGTAAGTGATCGTTGAAATGATGGACTTATTGAAGAACCACGTGAATTAATTTCTTTAATTTTTCGCTTTTTCTCTTTACCACTATTCTGATCATATCGATTTAAATATCGATTTTTTATTGATTTCTCATCATATAATGACGATGATTTTTTCTTATCGCATAAGGCACCATTCAATGAATATATATCCTTCTATAAAATAAATTTAATTATTATCATTTAATGATCAAAAATAAATTAATAATTCCTATGCATAATATCTGAGCATTTAATAGTTAATTAGTCATAGATTTTATATTTGATCAAATTAACTAGCATCTGCAAAAGTTATTAAATAAAGTAAAAAAAAAGAGAGCATGAAAAATGATAAATAGTTTATGTGATAATAATTATAATAATAAATTAATAGTGATAATAATAATAATAATAATAATTCATAATAATAATAATTAATATTAAACAAATTCCTTACTGCAATGAAATGAATAAAATTTAGAAAAATTACAAATTTTCGTAGAAAGGATTTAAGAAAATTCTGTTAATTAATTAATTTCAAAAACTTCATCAATTTCATGAAAAAAAAAAGAGAATTGAGAAATTCTTAAAATACGAAGTGAGAAAAAGAGAAAGAAACAAAAACGCAAAATTAATACATTTAGATGTTGTTGATTGACTTTATTGTTGTTGCTATTGTCGTTATTGTTGTTATTGTCGTTGCTGCTGTTGTCGTTGTTGTTATTGCTATTGTTGTTATTGCTATTGCTATTGCTATTGCTATTGCTGTTGTTGTTGTTGTTTTTACTGTTTACTTCAGTTACAACAATACTTTCAAATTTCAGTGCATTAATCTAAATTTTTACAATGCAAAAAATTATGTCAAAAATTAATTCATTTCAGTTAATTTTGCATTTTTGTTTTTCTAATTTCTTTTTTTTTTTTGCAAGCATTTAAAAATTTACGCGTTGTTAGCAAATATTTTAGCTAATCTAAAATTGAATTTATCAAAGTAGCAATAAAGCAAGTTTTCTAGCGTTTTTGCTAAAAAAATTGTAAAATTTCAACGAAAAAAAAAGAAAAATGAAATTTTACGGGTTCGAATAAGAAAACTGATTAATTATTTGAAGAGAGAGAGAGAGAGAGAGAGAGAGAGAGAGAGAAAAACCAAATTAAAGCAGAAGGATAAGCAAAGCAAAAGAATGTTTATACTTTTGCATTACCATGATACAAACAATTGTTTCTTGAAAATCTCGAAAAAAAGAAGGAAAAAAAATCGATAATTTTTATAAAACTTCACGTAAAGCTATAAATTATATTTTTGATAATAATTTTATACTAATTACTAAAATATCCTAGCTGTATCCTTCCGGTAAATAAATTATTCATTAATTGATTTGATAAAACTCATAGCTAATAAAATTTTCTAAATTTTGAAGAAAACAAAAAGAAAAAGAGTAGAAGCAATCATTTACAGCAAATATTAAAGTAAGTCAAATTAGGGAAGTGAATAATTAAATTTAATTATAGTTGAAAATGTAATTTGAATAATTAAAATAAGAGTGATGAAGATTGGAAAAAGTAAAAAGAAAATAACTAATGTACATGCAAAGCGTTATAATTTTTATCATTTCAATTTTTCATAAAAGAAAAATTTTTAATTTGTAAAATAAATAAATGTATAATTTTTAAAAATTAACTGAAATTAAAACTCAATTAAATAAAAAGTGTAGTTTTATAACCATTTATGATAATAAAAGATTTAAGCATCAAATTCACAGTGAATGAATATTTTGCTTATTTCAAATTAAATATTGGTCGTTTAAAATATATTACTACAGCAGGCAAATATCAATCAAATTTGATAGAATGTAAAATTATTAAAGGGTAAATTTAGACTGAAAAATGAAAAATTATTACTAATCGTTAGAGGAAAATATATGAAAAGCTAAAAGTTAAAAAACATAAGCAAATAAACAAACAAACAAACAAAAAAAAAAACAGAACTATTCAATAAGATTTAGATAAAAACAAGTTGAATCGATCAAAATCGATTGCCTAAAGAATAATAATAATAATAATAATAATAATAAAAATTCCTCGAGGCTAATAGGGTTGGCTAAAATTGTTATTGCTATTTCGCTTAGTTTTGTTTACCAAAACAGAAATGTGAAGCTTTCGTCATTTTTAGCATAGAAAACAGCAGCACTTTATTATAATAAATGATTGCAAAAAAAAAAAAAAAAGATTCATAAATTTTATAAATTAATTAATTAATTAAATGTTTCTAGGCTATATTGATTTTGAAGTTATCAATATGGCTTTTTTATTGATAACTTCTCAAATAATATTAGTCATATATTTGTAATCAGAAATGACTATGATAATATAACGCAATTTGGGGAATAGATCAATATTATTGATAAAAAGTAATGGAGAAAAGAACCCTCAAATATACATTAAAAAAAAAAAACAAACAAACAAACAAACAAACGACAATCAATATCAGCTAAAATAATTAAAGTTAAATTAACCAATTTTAACAGAAAAAAAGAGAAAATGAAGGAGAGAAAGGGAGAGAGAGAGAGAGAGAGACAAGAGAATGATAAAAAAATAAACTTTAATGATCAATTTATACATTTTAAATTTATATAATAGTACATTTCTATAATTAAATTAAAATGAATTAAAACTTTACAGCTAGCAAAAATGTAAAACGAAAAAGTATTTTATTTTAGGAAAAGTTTTAAAAATTTTTTGAACAAACAAAATTCTAATGTAATCTATCAAGTCCGTTCATATTGGCATGTGAACGTCAGCAAAATGGAGCTTCTAAAAAAAAAAAAAAAAAAAAAAAATTGCCATTTTTCATTCTTGATTGATTTTGATGATATTAAGAATAGGGTACGATGAACTTTTTTTTTTTCCTTTTCATTTTTCATTCCTATTATAGAAAAATTTTTGTGAAAAAATTTTTACATATTAAATTAATGCTGATCCGTTTAATAATTATTAATTTATCTTTTTTGATCAATTTTGTTTAATTTTGAAAAACTATATTGAAATATTTAAAATATAATTTCAAGTATAAAAAAAAAAAACATAATTTCAAGTACTTTTCATCCTTTTCTCTCTCTCTCTCTCTCTCTATTCTTAATCGAAAAAGAAAAATGACTGAAACAAGAGGAAAGATAAAAAAAAAAAGGTGAGACAGATAATTTTACAAGTTTTAACAATAATAATAATAAAAATAAAAATTAATGATGCTCTAAAAGTTTTATTAATGATCTAAAAAGATCTAAAAAGTTTTATTATTTATCATTTATTTAAAAAATTTATAAAAAAAAAAAATTCTTTTTCTTCCTTTTTTTTTTAAAAAAAAATGCATATAAAGACAATAATTGATTTAACTACCAAAGAAGAAAAATATAAACAACTAACTCTCACCGCGGTGTTTTTCAATTATCGATCAAAGATTATACTCGTTTTGGCTCATCTAACATCAACAATGGATCATCATCGTGTATCAACGTTACTTTTAACTGACTACATCTCATTTCAATTCATTTCATTTCATTTCAATTCATTTCATTTCATTTCATTTCATTTCATTTCATTTCATTTCATTTCAATTCATTTCATTTCATTTCAATTCACTTTATTTTAGCTTATGCTAAATGATTGATTTCTCTTTGCTATCTTTTCTAATCTTCCATTTTTTTTTTTTTTTTTTTTTTGATACAACGCTTCCTTTAAAATCAATTAATGATATTTCAACTTTTACTTTTTTATCAAAAAAAAAAGAATCATTAAAATCAAAATAAGTTTTTAAACGTTTAGGATTAATTAGAAAAATTAGTTGAAATTTTAGATGATAAATTATAGAACTTATGAATCAATTTCATACTACTATTTTTGTATTATTTATGACTTTTTCCTTCATTGCTATTTTAATTATAAGAAATTAAAAGAGATCAAAATGACTAAAAAAAAAACAAAAAAAAAAAAAAACCAAAAGCTAACATCTAAGTTAATTTCAATTTCTAATCATTGAAATATTAAGAAAGTATTCCATTTCAAACTCACAATTTACTTCAATGAATAAAAGTAATATTTTATAATAATTTAGACAAAACTTTTGCAAACATTTACAAAGCATTCAATATTTGTCATTGAAAATATAAAGCAAAACGAAAAAAAAAAGTAAGTTTTCCTAAAATTTATTTTTAAACAAAAAAAAGACAGTAAACAATTTTTTTTAGCTAAATTTTTTATATCTAAATCAAAATTTATATATTTATTCTATCATATAAATAATTAACTACCATATCTTATTAATTTTAATAAATTAATTAATACCAATCAAATGCTTGTATACTAACAATATTAGTACACTATGATAAGATACTGTTAACATATCAGTGTCACGTTAGCATCTAAGCATGTGTGGTAGGATTATTACAGTACACTATGATAAGATACTGTTAACATATCAGTGCCACGTTAGCATCTAAGCTTGTGTGGTAGGATTATTACAGTGCACTATGATAAGATACTGTTAACATATCAGTGTCACGTTAGCATCTAAGCTTGTGTGCTAGGATTATTACAGTACACTATGATAAGATACTGTTAACATATCAGTGTCACGTTAGCATCTAAGCTTGTGTGCTAGGATTATTACAGTACACTATGATAAGATACTGTTAACATATCAGTGTCACGTTAGCATCTAAGCTTGTGTGCTAGGATTATTACAGTACACTATGATAAGATACTGTTAACATATCAGTGTCACGTTAGCATCTAAGCTTGTGTGCTAGGATTATTACAGTACACTATGATAAGATACTGTTAACATATCAGTGTCACGTTAGCATCTAAGCTTGTGTGCTAGGATTATTACAGTACACTATGATAAGATACTGTTAACATATCAGTGTCACGTTAGCATCTAAGCTTGTGTGCTAGGATTATTACAGTACACTATGATAAGATACTGTTAACATATCAGTGTCACGTTAGCATCTAAGCTTGTGTGCTAGGATTATTACAGTACACTATGATAAGATACTGTTAACATATCAGTGCCACGTTAGCATCTAAGCTTGTGTGGTAGGATTATTACAGTGCACTATGATAAGATACTGTTAACATATCAGTGTCACGTTAGCATCTAAGCTTGTGTGCTAGGATTATTACAGTACACTATGATAAGATACTGTTAACATATCAGTGTCACGTTAGCATCTAAGCTTGTGTGCTAGGATTATTACAGTACACTATGATAAGATACTGTTAACATATCAGTGTCACGTTAGCATCTAAGCTTGTGTGCTAGGATTATTACAGTACACTATGATAAGATACTGTTAACATATCAGTGTCACGTTAGCATCTAAGCTTGTGTGCTAGGATTATTACAGTACACTATGATAAGACACTGTTAACATATCATCGTTAACATTAAATGATAATTAAATGATAACCATAATTATTTGTACGTAAAAAAAAGGAAAAAATTTTTATAATTGCCAAAAAAAAAAGAAAAAGAAGAAAGAAAAAAGAAAAGTGATATGAGGAATTCCATTTCAAATTATACTAGATTATCATTTTGAGAGAGATCCTAATATCAACCAATAAGACATTTCCCATTTTGCATCTGAAGAGGGTCAACAAGAATTGACGAGAATGCTGGGGCATTTCCGGTACTACTAAAAAAGTACTTTTTCTTGTCAACGAATCAACAAAAAAACATTTTTTTGTTGGGAACATAGAAATATTAACTAAAGTAAAGATATTTGTCAGTTAACCGGAAATATTATATAACTATCTGAATAACAAAAAAAAAAATTATCATATCAAAATGTATACTGATAACTGATAAATGATCAATTCAACAATAATTTCATCTTATCTAACCATTTATGAAATTAATAATTTGCAAGGAAAAAAAGGAATGGAAAATGCTTAAAAAGAAATTAAAAGAAAAAAAAATGCAATGAGAGAAAAGAAAAAAGTTTCTTTCAAACAAGTGAATTAATTTAAATGATTTATTTTTTTAAAAATTAATTTAAATGATGCTTATTTAATCGAAGCAATACATTAATATTCTGCTGAAGTACTTATCATATAGGACAGTGGTAAAAAAGAAAACAAAAATGAATAGAATAATAAAATAATTTCAAATTTAAATATTAATTTTATAAATTCATTTTAAAAAAAAGAAAAGAAAAGTTAAAAGTCAAACATTTTAAAAAGTTTTTAAAATAAAATAAAATGTTAAAATAAACCAAATATATTTTCTAAAATTGTGTAAAAATAAAACAAAATGTTAAAATACTTCAAATATATTTTTTTAAATTGTGTATTTTTTTTGAAAAAAATTTTATTTAAATTGCAAATTGTAACATTAAATCCCATTAAATTGATTTGATACAATTTTAAATTAATAATAAATATTAGTTTAAAAGGTTTTTTTTTTTTGAAAGAAAAAAGAAGAATAAAAGAAAAAAAATCAAACCTTTTCTTCCGATACATTACTTTCCTCTCTATTATCATTATCATTATCATTATCATTATCATCATCTTTTGCATTTATCTCATCGCATTCAGCCTTATCAGTACTGGATGTTGCCGTTGAGTTTGAAAATAAAGTTTCAATTTTTGTAAAATCAAATGTTGATGCATCCGATGATGTTGTCACTTTTGCAGATTTCTTTGAACTTTCATCATCCGATTTATTATACCTAAAAGAAAAAAAAATATAAATCATTTTGTATTCAAATATTATTTAAAATCTCAAATTAATAACATAATAATAAAAAAATAAAAATGCATTTATTCCGGACGAAAAAAAAAAAAACATAAAACGTAAATAACATTAATAAATATGAAAAATTTTAATCAAAAAAAAACCGATAATATTCAGTAATAAATTTTGAAAAATTAACAATTAATACCTAATTCTTTTAATTATTATTACCTTAAATTTCTATTATTATTATTATTTTTTTTTTAAAAAAATTATTATTACTTTTAAAGATGAAATAAATTCAAGCTACTAAACTACTAAATTAACATATAATCTGTGATTGATTAAAATTTTTGTCACAATTTAACAAATTCCATTGTGTATATCAAAAAAAAAAATGTTTTGAAAATATAATTGTTAAGCAATTTTCTTCAGTAATATTTTTATTAAATAATGCTAATAGAAGATTAAAAACACTCGCTGAAATTATAAATAAATTATGAAAAACTGGAAATTTAAATAATTTAAATTAGTGATAATAAGAGTTGTAAACTAAATAATAACTAGAAATAATAATTATTTATTAGTTTTTCATCTTTTCGATAATCTATTATTATTGCTACGATATGTATGTCAAATGATCAACAAATTAATTGTCAAATTGATCAGAGGAGGGAAAAAAAGGGTTAATTTGATCAAATCAATGATAATTCTAAATGATATAAAAGTAAATTATTATTTTAAAAGATTTCATTAATTAGCTAGAAAAAAGAAACAAAAGAGAGAGAGAGAGAGAGAGAGAGAGAGAGAGGGAGGGATAAAAGACATTCACTTTTTAATATTATATATTAAATTGGGTAAATTACCTATTCTCAAATGAATAAATAAAAATGATGATAAATTAAAAAAATATAAATAAATCTATCTACTATTATTACTATTATCAATTATTTTTAATAGTAATTCAAATAATTTACCTATTACTAATTAATTAATTAATACATTCGATATTCCTATCCATTAAAATTGATAATCATTTTTTGATATTTTCATCTATTCCAATCAATAATTATTTTTTGATATTCTGACCTATTATTATCAGTAATTACTTTTGATATCTATTATTATCAGTAATTATTTTTAACATTCTTACCTATTATTATTATCAATAACTGTTTCCGATATTTGCATAACTTCAGTCCAATCCGGTATTGTTGATTCATTACTCAATTGTAATTCATTTTTATCATTTTCATCAATAAATAAGAATTGCTCATTGTGCTTTTCCGGTTTATTCCGTTCCATTGTGGTACTTGTTTCATCCGGAATAACCAAATTAAGCGTTACATCAACAGCTGTTGATATTGTTGATGTTGTTATCATCTCACTTTTTTACAATTGCAATTTTTTTTCGTTTCTTTTTTCTTTTTTTTTTCTCTCTTTTTTCTTTCCTTTTCACCTGAAAAAAAAGGAATTTGACAGTAAAAAAAAAAAAACGAAAAAAAATGCTGTTTAACTATTTAAAATTAAAAAAAAGAGAAAAAAGGAAAGATAACAAATGAAAATTATATTGAAAAAATAAATTTAAAAAAAAAAAAATATTTTTGGAAAAAGAAAAATCAATTTTGAAACTATTAATAACTAAATTGTACAGTAATAATACTAAAAAATTCTTTTAGTTTAAATTAATTCAAATTTAATTTGAAAAATTGGATAAAAAATTTTTATATCACTAAACAAACACACATAAATATATAACGAGAGGGAAAGAGAGAGAGAGAGAGAGACAGGGAGAGAGAGGGAGAGAGAGAGAGGGAGAGAGAAGATAACAAAGACATATGATCGAAATAATAGCAATGGAAAATAATGGCTCTTTTTAAAAAAAGGCTCATTCCAACAAAAAAATGAAAAAAGAAATATTGACTCAGTTTAGTGGCCAGCAAATGAAAAGCGAGAAAAAGAAAAAAGGGAAAATGTACAAACAGAAATAAATATATTTTAAAAAAAAAATTTTTTTTTTTTTTTGCCTTTTAAAAATATTTCCAATGAATTTGATTTATAATTATTTCAGTGAATTTAATAAAAGTATATAAATTTTAAATGAAAATTAAATATTAAAATGATTAAATGAATTGAGATTATTACCAAAATTTCAAAAGCTATAACAATTAATTTTGTTGTTTTTTAGGAAAAAAAACTGATTAAACAAAGGAATGACAATATTTTGAAATGAAAGAACGAAATAAAAAAAGAGAGAGAGCGAGAGAAAGAGAGAGAGAGAGAGAAAATAAAAAACAAAAGGAAAGAAAGGAATAAATAAAATTTGAAAATATATATATTTTTGATATATGTCATTAATCATTAACCATAATGCATTACTATGAAATTTATTAAATTAATATATGCATTCAACAACAATGTAATAAATAATTTGTTTAAAAAAAAAAAAGTTAATTAAAATCAAATAAAAAATTACAAAAAAAAAAAAAGAAGTGGAGCTGAAAATTCATAAAAAAAAAAAGAGGAAAAAAGTTAATAAAAAAAAAAGAAAAAAACAAGAGGGAAAGATTAATGGAAAATTTAAATAAATGAATAGATTAATAGAAATTTACTACTAATTAATTATTATTAATTTCTTTTTTTAATGATTTAAAAATGAAAGACTATATTTTGTCTTTCATATATTATAAATAAAAAAAAAAAAAAAAAAGATAACGAAATTATCGTACAAAATGCTACTGCAATGTCATAGCTATATATATACCCGATGAATTCCTGATGATGACGGTATGATGATGAGAAGACAGTGGGTATAATGATGTCAACAAAGGATGGAGGAGGAGGACAAGAACAGAGACAAGGGGACACTTTTAGTTTGTTTTCTTTTTCTACCAATCTGTAAAGAATTATTGCCTTACCATATTTTGTCTTGTATAGATTTGTAAATAAATAAATAATAAATAAATAAACAATAATATGTAAATTTATATGTATACATCCTATCCTATAATTAATTCTCATTAAAAATTTTTTCTTACAAATGTATTATACCGTATGATTATTATTATGTTAAATACATAATCATTATTGAATTATATGATAAAATTCATTTATAATATTTTGTTATAATTATTATTGTTTACTAAATCAAAGTATTAACTTTTTTTAATGATAATTCTAATCAATTACTAATATAATTTGTATAAATCTTTATCACAAAGTTCTAACTTTCATCGTTAATGATAAGTGTTTCTTTTTTTTTTTAAAAAAAAATAACTATATCAGACGTTGTATAAATATAATTATTACTTTTATTTTTTATCATTATCAGTTAAAAAATTTCTTTTGCTAGCGCTAATTAAAATTGGATTAACTTATTATATCACTTAAAATTATAATTACAATTATATTCAGTATTTTTTATCAACCAGTATATATGATATTTCATAAATGATTCATTCATAAAAATGATTAAATTATCAAATTTATCAGAATGCTATATAAGTGATATTATTTTAATGGTATTTTTTTGCTTTTATACATTTTAAAATTTTAAATATAAAAATTGATAAAAGATAAAATTCTTTTCATCTATTATCATATATCATACATTGTGTTTAATAAGCTATGAGAAGGCTAATAAAATGATTGTTTCGATGACGAAAAAAATTTCTGATAAGCGATAAAATGAAAAAAAAAGTTGTGTATTAAAAAATATGATAAGAAATTTTACAGATCAAAAATTATAAAACTATTTGCAAAATAAATGTAAACATAAATTCAGGCATGAAATATGCGGGAAAAAAATCCCAAATTCGTATTATTTTTAATTCGAGGAAAAAGGAGATGAAAAAAAAAAGAAATTTATTTAATGTTATCAAAAAATGCTCAAAAAAGAACATTAGAATTTGAAAAATTTTAAATTTATAATAATTACAATATTTTTTAATTGCGCATGAATAAATGTTCTTATAATTTAATTTTATCATTCATTATCAACTTGCTTGAAGGAGATTTGCAAATTTTTTTTATTTTTACAATATAAATATTAATTTTTTACAATATAAATACAAATTTTTGTAATATAAATATAAATTTTTAGAATATAAATTTACAATATAAAGTATGAAGTTATAATAAAGTAAGCTTCAATTCAAATATTCTATAATTCAAATATTTTAAGTGATAAGTGAAATGTATCAAATTACTGATAACTTATTGTTTGAGCAAAAAAAAAAAGAATAATAATAGAACAAAAACAAAAAAGAAAAAAAAAAGAAAATGAAAGCAAAAAAAAAAACAGTTTTTTACACAATAAATGTAAAATTAACAAATTAATGTTTAAAAATATGAAATATTCTTTTTTTTTTTTTTTTTTGATTATATTTTCAAAAAACAAATTTTTCAATTTTTTTTTTTCGCCAATGTACTTCAATCGATCAAAAGTTAAATTAGCAATTATACAAGAATAGCTAATGCCTTTTTTTTTTTTCTCTTTTTTTGATAATCAAATATTCGCTTGCTGAACTCTTATTTTCACTCTATCTTTCATCGTTTTCTTATTTACCCGCCTTTTAGCTCGGGCAATTCACATCCCGTGCTGAATTGCCCGCTTTTCTGTTGTTAGTTCATTCATTCAGATAAACAAAAGTGCATATTTAATTTAAAAAATATAGAAAATGAAATTGTCAAATTGCAAAAAGCACAATAACAGACAAACATAAAGGATAGCTTAAAATCATTTTAAAAGAAAAAGAAAGGAAACAATCAATTCTAACTCAGTAAATATGACAAATGAAATTTTTTAAAAAAAAAGAGAGAGAGGAAATAAAATTCATCATAAAAACATGTCATATGTCATCAAATCATTGTTTCTTATGCTCCTATCATTTACAAATAATCGAAATAAAATATTTGAAATCAATTCACCATATTTCCATTTATTGCTTTTCCATATAATTTAAATTTAAATTTCATTTTTAAGAATATTTAAATATTAATATTACATCGATGAAAACTTTTTCTTCATAAAGAAACAAAAAAAAAAAAATTGATAACAGATAACAAAATTAAGAAAAAAAATGATAAATAAATAAAAAAAAAAAAGAGAGATATGGAAATAAGTTAAACTTCGATTTTTTTTTCACTTTTAAACTGATAATTGAGTTATTTTTATTACAAAGAAACAAGTTAGCAACATTTCATGTGTACTTTTATCTTTTACCAGGTGAGAAGAGAGAGAGAGAGAGGGGGGGGAGAAAGAGAGAGAGAGAGGGAAAGAGTTATATATAGAAAAGAAATATAAACAAGTAGTAATTAATTTTATTCATTCACCTTTTCTTCCTCTTTTTTTTTTTTTTTTTAAATATAAAATGATCAAATATTAATTTCAAATTTTTTTTTTTTTTTTTGTTCCAAATTTTATAATAATTAATATATTAATAAATTATATGATTCAAATTTAGCAATCAATCATTGCACATTGAATTTGTTATTCATTTTAATAAAAGCTTTATCAGATCAGATTACTCTTCCTCTCTCTTTCCTTCGCTTTCTCCCCCTCTCTCTCCTCTCTCTCTCTCTCTTTCAATCTTTATATTATTGAAAAAAAAAATTTGTTTACTTGAAAATTTTTCAAAAATTATATTTTTATAGTACGGTAAGTAATATTTATATACATAAAAGTAATTACTTTTCCCTTTTAAAAACAATACAGAAATTATTAAATAAATTATTTAAAATATTAAAAATGCAAAAAAAATAAGGTTAAATTAAATTTTAATTTTCTACCCTATAATAATTCAAATAATTAATGAACTATTTAAATTTAAAAAAATATCAAAAATTAATAAATATCACATTTCTGCTCGACTTTTATATAAAAATATGTAAACGAAAATTTGGGCAAAAAAAAAAGAAAAAAGTATATCTAAATTTTCACAAATTTTTCCTGCTAAAATAATATATAATTTTTTAAATAAATTATTTAAATTATTAAAAATTGAAAAGAAAAAAAAGCGAAAAATTAGCTAATATTATATATTTATAAATGATAATATATTCATAATAATCTTTTAATTTAATCACTATAACAATAAGAATAATTATTTTTTTTTTGATATATTGTAAAAAAAAATGAAAAATAAAGTTTAAAAATGATAAAATTAATTAATTAATTATCATATAAGGAGTGTGTTACTATAAATGAAATAAAAATGAAATGAAAGCAAAGAAAGAATAAAATCAAAGTACCAAGCGATGTTAGTTACTACTGATAGCATCAGTGAAAATTTCATTTTATAATGTTCATGATAGTGATAATGATTGATTGATTGATTGATTGATTGATTGATCGATTGATTGATTGATCGATTGCTTTCGCT